GATGATACCCCTGGACTACAAGCCAACATCATCTTCCTAAGGATTCTCTTGAGGGTGGAAGCCCCAGCTCTGCCGAGAGACAAAGCTGCACGCACCCTCCTGCTGCACTCCTCCTCCTCCTCCTCCTCAGCATCGTGCTGTGGGAGCAGCGGCGCTGTGCGCGACCCCTCGGGTAATAAAGGCCTTTTTAAAGGAGTCTCCTGGCCATATTTATCACACTGGCACGCCAGCCCGTCAATCTGCCTAACAAAACAGTTTGTGAGGCAGCAGGGCAAATCACGAACTGATTAGCATTAACATTAACCCTGTATCTGAAAGAAAATAAAAGTTTACTGAAGCAGAGGTGTTCAGAGGCAGCAGTGTGGGGCAGACCACGTGCTGGCAGGCCCAAAGCACTGGTGAGCTGCTGCAGGAACTAGAACAAGAGCATGGCAAGGAGAAGGAGAAAATGTAACCCAGTGTAGCCTATGTGCTGTGAAACTTCACTTGAGCTTGAACACTGTTGGTGCAGTTTAACATTATCCTCATCCTAAACCCAAAACACAGCACTGTACCAGCTTCTAGGAACAAAATTATCTCCACCCCAGCCATGGCCAGGACAGCTGTGCAAAGGCTTTCCTTAATAAAGTCAGACATCTATTTACATGCAATATAGTCACAGTTTCGTGTCATTTATGGCCTGTGTTAGGAACACCGACAGGTAAAATTGCTGGAAACTTCCAGGTAAAGAGGAAAAAGGGTGACATGTTTCCCCATAAATATGGAGATTTGGGGCCAAGTGTAAGTACCTTCACTTGCCTGTGATTAACAAAAAGAACACTATCCCAAGGGCAATATTGTAAGAAAGATCTCAGGTGAGAAACAATCAGGATACACACACACTGTGGACTGGAAATGGCTGGAACATGTAAGCAGCCATCAGTTTCTAGGCACCAAATGGGAGAGACTCACTTAACTAAGAAGCAATGAAAAAAGCAATGAAAAATCACGATCCCAGAAGCATGTTGTGGGGAGGGGGTTAAAGAAAAGACAAGATAGGTAAGACCCAAAGACCCAGCCCAAAACTAACAAACAAATATTAACTTCTGGAATTCCAAAACAATAGATCAGAGAGAGCCATGACAGACTTCACATCTGCTTGCTTTGCCACAGAGGGACCCTCATGTATGGAAAATACCCCAAAGAACCCTGGGACTATTTTTTGCTCAAGTAACTAATTTCTCCACCTCTATTCATTAACTGCATTCCTCCAGTTCTCCACCATCAGAAACAGCATGAGATTCACAAAAGGTCTGCAGACAAACCACCCGACTAGCAAGAAATGAAGCAATTAATTTCACTACAGAAATATACTACACAAAAGTAGTGCGCCACACTCAGTCTAACTATAAATGCAATTTTCCTCCTGGGTCACCTGATGTAAAGTCCTGATATAGCATTTAGTTGGAACAAGACCCAATCCCTTAAAGAGCTTTTAGCTTCTAATAAATTTTCCTCTTACCCACTTAAGAGGGCCATTATATCCTAGTGAACACAAATTCATCTGCAAGCACAAAGTCTTTGTGACACACAGAATTACTCTAAGTCAAAGCCTGGGCTTGCATTCCCAGGACTCTGATGATGACTTAGTCTGGGACCTGAGGCAAATCACGGAGTATTTGTTAGGGCATCCCTAAAAGTGGCACAAATAACTTCTTGTAACAGATATTCCAGAGCTTTATCAAGTATGTAGGCTGCTTTAAAAGACAAAAGAATTGCTACAGGGTTGCTTTTGATAGAAAATCTTCTTCTGACTTCAGTAGGAATTGGAAGAGGCCTTTAAGAAGCCTACTGCAAACCAGACATGAACCATGCAAAGCAGAACCTGGCTGAATGAATGCAACTGATGGCAGAGGATTTGTAGGGTCTTCCACGGCCACAAGAACTGCTTGTGCAGGCCCAAGCCAGAAGCTGAGCCCAAATGACACTGAGAAACACCAGCCTTACACTCACATTCTTTTAAGGCAGTTACCAACACAGTTCCTGCTTGGGCACATGGATGAAAATGTGATTCCAATCTGCCCTCCAAATGCAACCTGGTAATTTAAAAGCACACTTAAGTCCATTCAATTGGGAATGATTGAACAAAAAAGAAGCACCACTCATTCTAACTTGATTTTATAAATATGATGCTTCTTGACAGTAAATGAATCTTTCTAAACCCCAGTTAAAATGATTGAACTGCTCAAAGACGATTCTATTAAGTCTTGCATCAACCAGCCTGCCTTTTTTGTCTTATGAGGCAAATAAACAGATTTACAAGAAAACATTTGGTTGAAGAGTAAAGAGTTTCTTCTAAGAATCAAATCCATTCATGTTTTGAACTCATCTGCCAGCTTCTAGCTCAAGGCAAAAGATTTCTATTAATATTTATTTAATAATACATGTTTAGAATTTTACAAATGCTGTTGCAAATCCATAGACAAGGGTAAAAATCTTAGAAGTTAAAACAGTATTCCAAATCAGAGACCAACAGAGCTGAGTAGCAGCTCTGAAGCAAATTCAGAATCAAGAGAACAATCCTCCAAAGTCCTGCTCTCTGTGGCTTGTAATGGTTTGCCAGCAATGGATCCTTCAAATACAGTTTCCAATAGTTGGTGATTTTCTTGCACTCCTATAACATAAATAACTAGATATTTGTGCAGATGATGAGGTGACAAACATAACTCCTGGGTGAGGATAGTGGGAAAAGTCTCCATTTGTCAGGGTCTAATTCCTCACAGAAGTTTTACATCCTCTGGAACAAAATCAGTGATAGATGGACATGGGACCATGTTCTACCCACTGTGTTTCAGATAAACAGGTAGCTCAAATGATTCTAACATGTGCTATTTCTGCAGTCAAAAATAAACTCTCCAGTTCTTCCTCTAGATGTTTGCTCTTACAAGCTTTTGCATAAAATTTCCCTAGCAGGCCATTTTGGACAGACAGTGTCTGCTTGTCCATTATCCTGAATGAGAATGCTTTTCACACAGCAGAATACTAAAAAAATCTAGACACTTCTTTAAAAAAAGGAAAACGACAATGAAAGAGGAGGTGCAGTGAGCCTACATAGTCACAGATTGGAGAGCAGCATTTTAAAAGGGAAACATTATTTATTGCACTAATACTGTAATTACAATGTCGTTTTTGTAGAACAATGACTATTTTGATTAAGGCACTCATCAGCAGCCCCACAGCTGAAAGCTCCACAAGTAATGTAGAGATGTTCCAGTGCCCAACCACCCCTGTGAGTGAAAAACCTTTTCCTGATATCCAACCTAAACCTTCTGTGACACAGCTGGAGGCCATTCCCTTGGGTCCTGCCCCTGGCCACGCGAGTGAAGAGATCAGTGCCTGCACCTCCACCTCCCCTGGTGAGGATATTGAAGACCACACTGAGGTCTCCCCTCACTGAGTCTCACCCTTGGATGATCTCAGACACACTGAGGATTGTCAGAAGAGCATTAATAAACTGTTAAACAATCTGTAATTTATTACAGCTCTGGAATTTGTTTTCATACAGGCAGATCCAAGCCAGCATAAATTCAGATAAGGAAGCACGTATTATGTTACCTTGCACACTACACTCTGTTACAGATGAGAGTATTTTATGTAGGTCAGGCACTGCTTCCCTGGAGACAGAGAAAAAGCCATAAGGAAATCAGAGCAGTGTCAGGCCTTATTTCAGTGATCCAGCATACTCCAAAATTTCAATTATGCAGAGATTGTGTCTCTCTGGCCTTGTCTACCAACATACCAACATCAACTCCTCCAAGGCTAAGTGCTGCAGCCCAGACAGGAGACATCTCATGATGCAAACCCAGAGACAACTCCTTGCACTCATGAGGAAACAATAATGTTTTGTCAGTTGGAAAAAGAACAGAAAAACCAAAGTGATGGTAATTTTCAACTCATTGCAACACTGAGCTGCAAAATAAGTTTTTGGGAGCAGAAGGCAGCTCTCTGGCCCTTACAGTGAGAAGAACAATGTTATTAAAAGAAGCAGTCTTGCATTTCTCTCTCCCTTTCCTTGAAAAAGTGAAAGAGGGAGAGAGAAAGCTGAAAGAGGGTCTGTGCTTCACTCTGGCTGAAAAACCTCTTTATCTCTAACAGGCGGAAGAAAAAGAATTTCAAGAAGCCAGAAATAAAAATGAGTATTTTGTGTTCTATCTTGCTGTCTCAGGAGATAATTATCTATTCTTACAGTAAGTTCCCCTTTTTTTGCTATTGTACAACGGTATGCTGATATTCTGGCAGCTAAAAGGCTCAAAACACAATGTTACCTCTCCCTTACCTTTCCTAGCAGGGCTCACAATTTATTTTTATAACACACCACCCCATTTTTCACTACCATTATCTACCTAGGAATTCCACCCTTATCAAAAACCTGAGAGATTCTCAAAGAGAACAGAAAGGTGTTAAACTGTGAAGAGATACAGAAAGAAGTACTCAAATCACACACAATACTGCATTATAGTAAACAGGTGAAGAGTGTACAATGGAAAAAGAAAATATATGCACTCACAATATATTCACATTATGAATACCTTAATTCCCTTCTGTCTGGAAGGCAGCATAAATGCCCCTATATTCTACTTTGCTCCACAGTGATTTTCCTAATTTAAATAAACCAAGTAATCTAGAAAGGTTTTTCTCATCACACCTGTGAGAAACTGTTCTTACTGAGTCTGGGACCACAGGTAAGCAGGGAAATTTAGCTATCAACTCTGCAAAACTCTGTTGAAAGAACAATCCCAAATTCTACACATCTACCCTTGTCCCAGATTAAGTTCTGTAAAGAGAGCTATTGCTCTTTTTTCCCTCCTCTCTCCTCAAATAAATGTACATGTCTGCAGAGCTGTGGATCTCCTTTCCATGCCATCATCCATGGTTTGGACTGCTTTCCCCCTCTGCAATAAGAAGTAAGCTATATTTTAAATGTAAGCCACCAGTATGGGCTAATTGTTTTCCTTCCTTACCCTGATTCCAAGCTCCACATTCTCTCCTCCATATACTTCCATGCCTTCATCCAGCAATCCAATCTCTTGGAAGTATTCTCTGTCCACTATGAAGCATCCAAGCAGTGCAGGACTTCTGGAAGAATAAATCATCAGCAACCAAAATTAGCAGATAAATTATGAAGAATTTTATTTTTCAGGCACAGACTGTATTTATCATTGCTACGTAAAATGATGCAGCAAAACAGATTCTTAAGAAAGTATTTCTCAAAGAGCTTTATTGAGCCTTGCCTTCTGACATTCCTAATTCTAAAGTGAAATGAGCACCATTGAAGGAAATTAGAGTCAAATTATTGGACATAAATATTCACCAGAGCAGTAAGGATTTCAGTGCTAGTAGTGTGAGATCCAGGTGCCCCAGTTTTGTTTCTGGGGCACCAGCCAGTGTAGCCTCTGTCCTTGCTAAGTCCTCAAGGCTCTTGCCTGTGACAATTGCAAATGATGTGCAGTTCTGTGTGTTTAGCCAGAAGCCAGGTTCAGCTAGAGCTAAAAACTTGTGTCTGTAAGCTTACCTAAAGAAAGAGATTATTTCTTGAATAGGACCATCCAGATACATTTTTTTAATACAGAATCAAGCAAAGCCTGCCTTTACCAGCATAACATTAGTCCATTATCCTGAGCCAAACCTAAACAAATCACATAGCTTTACTGGATCAGTAAACTCTACTTATGTCATGGTGGGAACCAACCAATTTTTACTATACAGAGCCAATTTTAGTCAGGTAAGAGTTCAGCCACAGAGGGTACAATTTCACCTTATGAGTAGAGAAGGATACAGAGTCATTTAGCCTTTTCATTTTTCTCCTACCTTATAATCCACAATTGCAAGAAATAAATATGTCTTTTCAGATTATTATGCTGGCACTCTGGTAATGACAAGATATTAATTAGCAGTACAGGAGAAATCACCCTGCTTTTATGGAGAACACTCAAGCTACAGCTAGTGGACACATCTGCTTTCAAACAGATCATAGGCTGTCTTAATCACAAATTCTACAGTTCTACAGAAATCTATGTATTAATGCCTCCAAGTGCTATAGTACCCGTTTTATAACAATGAAAGACCATCTTTGATGTATTTATTAATGAAGAAAATAGCAGTTAACATCAATACAAAACTTATGCTTCATTTATGATAGGTACTTTTGCCTTTGTTGTTGTTTTTAAGTGTTTCTCAGTGCACCTGCTTCCCTTTGCTATAATTCTAAAAGAATAATGGAGGCAGATAGAAACCATCCATCAAGACACATGGCTTTGTTTGTTGGTGTGCTTGTTTTAATTATCCAACACACACATGCAGCATATTGCACTGAATTAAAAAATGTGCCAGGGAAAGAGTTAGGGGACAAACCTGAAATTCATAAAGTACATGCACTGCCCAGTCCTCATGTGGAACAGAGTTTAGGGGTAAGATGGAAAAGTCATTACTTTGTGTTTCACTACTTTTAATTTTAAAAATCATAATGGTTACTCTGTATAATTAATCACAGGATCATAGAATGGCTTGGGCTGGAAAGGACTTGAAAGATCATCTCATTCCAAACCCCAGCCATGAGCAGGTACATCTTCAAACAGATGAGGTTGCTCAGAGCCCCATTCAGCCTGGCTTTGAACACCTCCATGAATGGACATCCATAACCTCCCTGGCAACCTGTTCCAGTGCCTCACCACACTCACAGAGAGAATTTCATCTCAATACCTAACATAACCCTGCCTTCTGTCAGTTTAGAGCTGTTCCCTCTTGCCCTATCACTACCTACTTCTGTCCCTTACCAGTTTTCTTGGAATCACCATTTAGGTACTGGAAGGTGCTGTAAACCTCCCTGGAGCCTTTTCTTCTCCAGGCTGGACAACCCAAACTCTCTCAACCTGTCTTCACAGGAACATTTTTATAGTGTCAACAGAGTTCATTAACAGCAATAACTATTTCTAATGATGTGGAAATTAACCCCTTTTCACGTTTGTCTTTGGCAAACCTGTTAATTTTTATCTCCTGCTTTCCAATTCTAGGTTCTGTTCATAGGTCAGTGCAGTTCAGAGGGTGTTAAACTGACAGAACCTGAGAAAAGTGCCTGCCTGCCAAGATAGCTGCTGGATGAAAAACAGCTGCCAGTGCTGTTTGAGGTTCTGCTTTCAGGAGGTAAGAACAGCATTCACACTTCCTTTCTGCAGGGAGCTGGAGCACAGGTACCAGTGCCCTCCTTGGAATGAATGTGTGTCTACAAGCAAGGCCTGTACTCTCAGCAGAGCTGCTCAGTGGGTTCAGAGGGTACTACTCCCCTCCCTGAGACAAAGGGATTGTTCTGTACCAGTCTGACAACACTCTGGACATGGGAACAAAGTGCAGACCCAGACTGTCCCAAAGCAAGGACCCAATGCAGCCTTTGCTCACAGTGTCACTGACCAGACATTAACTCCTGGGACACAGCACAGCTGTGCACCTATGTGACAACACTATAAAGAACACAGCTGTCAGGTCAGCTCTGCTTATGCAACGTAACTGCAAAGAAAATTCCATTTCTGGCCCGTAAGCACTAAATCAGCAGGCAAGACATTTGGAGAACAGAGTGCTGCAGAGCAGCCCTGCCTACCATTCCACTTGGGCAGGAAACCTGTTTAAAAAGATCTACTGAAAACAAAAGTTTCCTTTAAAAACATCTACTGAAAACAGGAGTTTTCTTGATGACTGTGTAGGCATCAAGGACATTTAAGTATTTGAAGTTTACAGTCAGTAAAACCTATCACACAGCTGAGCCCACTTGCCCCCTGTCACACCCAGGAGAGCTTTTAGACACTGTAATTTAGTTATTTATTACCTTATTGGAGCAGTTGTGTTCTCCAGTTTCCACCAGGACTTAGGAGGGTTCAGATACCTGCACCACAGCTCCCAGTCAAAGCCTTGTGCTGAGAGGGGATACTCCTCTATTTCAAAATTATCATACTTAATGTTATCGAATGATGGAGAAATTACTCTTTCTCTGTTTTCTTTTATCCTGGTGAGCACTGGTTCAGCCCTAAAAAAAAAAGAAATACACTGTTAAGATTACACCACTGCAAGCATAGCACTGATGGAAATCATGGAGTAGTTTGGTTTGGAAGGAGCCCTTAAAGAGTATTTAGTCCACCACCAAATAAACAATATAGCAGCTAATGCTGTATTTTTCAGAAGGAGCAAAGTCTAAAGCTGTTACCCATTCAGAGCCCTTTCTGCCCCAAAATAATAGACTGCAACATATTCTCTAGGAGGCTCTGTTGTTAACCTTGATTTGAGCTGGTGGATGGAAGAAATGAGTATCTGCATATCATAGAGCATTTATACCCTTGCTACCAAGTAATGACAACTTCAGGCTCGCAACACTATCAAGGACATCAGGAGCAGAGTTAATAATAGATCTATCCTAGAGACAGAAGCTCTTGCCTTTTTACCTCACTTTTACTTAAGGAGCAAGGGAGATATTAAATCCAGACTGAACACGGTAAAACACATTATTTTAGTTATGTTTACTTTTGCAGAGTGGCCAAAATAACCAAAAAAACGCTTCTTTGTTTACACTGCAGAATGTAAAAGAAACATAATCTTTTTTAATGAAAAGAAGATACATTCACCCTCATGGGCAAAGGGCTACATTACTGGAGGAGATTTTTAATGTGCAGTTTTCTAATATGATTTAACTACCTTGTAATTAGACCAGCAGATTACTCAAACCATGAAAATGTATCTAGATCATCTTACACAGCACAAACACATTTTTCCTGCTTGTGTCCATGATTATGTCTGAATTTTCATTAAAAAGCTCAAAATTCTAACTCACCCTCTAAATGCCAGTCAGTAATTTACCACCAGTGCTTGGCAAAGGTCCCTGGGTGAGAGAATGGAAGGGGCACACACCAACCCACGTTGAATTCCACGTGGGCATCGAAGAGAGCGACGACCGGCGCTGTGGCTGCTCTCCAGCCGCTGACTCGGGAGCGGATCAGCCCCTCCTGCCTGCTGTGCCGGACAGCCTTGATGAAACCTGGCTCGTGGGCATTCACCTCATCAACATACTGCTGCAGCTTCTCCTTGAGCTCCTCTGTAGAAGGGCAAGAATTGGGCGTCAGCAAGAGATGCCAGCTCGACAAGGTGTAAAAATCCGCGCTTTGTGTCGTAGATGAGCGATCCCCATCCGGGGAATGATGTGCTCTGACTCCATGATTCCAGAAGGCTGAACAAATCCTTTATTAAGCTTTATTAAGCTGTACTATATTACACTAATACCATATTAAAACTACACTAAAGAGATACCAAATACTACTAAAGAAAAACACATGACTCTCTGCAGACAGTCACAACACAGCTTTGACCCAATTGGCCAATCAGTCCAAACAACCCTCGCTGGTGTCCAGCTCACAAACCACTTCTGGCAAACCATCTCCACGACACATTCCACATGTTCCAAACAGGAGCAGCAAGTAGAGATAAGAATTGTTTTCTCTTCTTCTCTGAGGTTTCTCACTGCCTTCCCCAGGAAAAGTCCTGGGAGAGAGAATTAAATCTCTCTTTGTTCAGAGAATGCGAATACCACACTTTGAGTAAAACAGGAGCAGCCTTCACACGGCTGCTCAGAACTCTCAAATAGTCAGTCTAAAAGGAGGCAAACAAAAAGGAGAAGGACCATGAATTATTTAGCAATAAAAAAATTTCAGATATAACTATTTAGCCTACATGACTGCCATCAGAATCCTGGCACTGTTTAACAGTAACAAGCCACAAAATGAAGTGTCATAGCTACATAAGAGTATATTATTTTACTGTAACAAAAAACAAGGCACCTGTCTTCTATTTCCAGGAAAATAAATAAAAAGCCTAAGTATTTTCCATGAATATTCTCTACCAATATTGCAAGAAAAAAAAGAGAACTAAGAGTAAAAGGCATTATTTTTCTCTTTCCATTTTTCTTTCTCAACTTTGACAACTGGTTTCTGTCTTGACTAAAAAGTTCAACAACTTTGGCTCTTAGAACAAAGACAAGTAAAAGCTCTAGAGAAGAATCATTCCTAATTAAAGTATAATAACTCTTAGATCAACAGCTATTATCTCTCTGGTTTAAAGACCACTGCATGAGAAAACACAATATGTGGAGTATAAATATTGTGTTCACAATGATTATTAACTGAAAGCAATGTTCACTTCATTCTTTATTAGCATTCCTATGTTCTATTTACATTATGGTATCGCTCAGAATTCCCTTTGGGACAATAAAGTCCCTTTATTCTGGATCTCTCCACAAATCCAGCAATGTCTTTGCTCTGATGCAGAATAATGCTCCTGTGGCTATTATGCTGTACTGGGCATTATCAAACCTGCATTAAAGCTCAATGCTGACTGTGAAAACCCTAGCAAGCCATTTAACTTCTCCTGAGGAACGGGTTCCCCAGGGAAGCAGTCACAGCACCAAACCTGCCCGAGTGCAGGAAGCATTTGGACAACCTCAGATACATTCTCAAGTGAATTTGGGGTGTCCTGCCATTGAGCCCCAGGCAGTTTGAGAATCTGAGAAATCAGCCTTTCACGCTGGGAGCTGCTCACCTCCAACAGATCTGGACAAGCAGCATGCTGGAATGGGTAATGGCACAGAAAATTAAAAGCAAGCACACTTTGTGAGCCATATTAAATGTTCATCCTTGGAAAGGAGGGGGGTGTGTGCTCTCTTGAGCTGACAGAACAACAGAGCTCATCAATTGCAAGTTCATCCTAAAGTTCATCCCTGCTGTTTGTGCAGACTCTTGGACATCCACCAGGTGTGATGCAGCTGTTTCTCAGGCCTTGCAGGACTCTGCATGCCATGTACCTTTGAATCAATGAACTCTGCATGAACCGAGAATATCACAGAAAAATCCTGATTCTTACAGGTTTTCAGACAAACAAGAATTAAAAAGAAACAGTCTGCTGATCATGTCCCTCACAACATTTAAACTGCAGCAATATTTTAGGAATTGACTGGATATATTCCCAAAATTTTCAACATTACATTGCCAATAACTATTCAATTTGTTTGTCTGTGACTGCATCACCTGGAATAAACACTTACATAGCATAGAGCACTCTTCTGTTTTGGATTTGACTTGCTGCTTATTGATCAACACACTTTTTCTCCTTTATCAAGTAAAAAAACCCACATTAATTTCCTTCACGCTTGTGCCAAACTCCATGTTCTTACTGCTCACCCCCGAACACACAGAGATTTGTAGCAAGCACAGAACTATCAAACCAACCACTAGCTAACAGCACATTAAATTGAAAAGAAGACATTTATGTTACTGTAATTCCATGCACCTAAAAATAGCACAAACCCGTTCTCTATTCCCAAAATGCAGCACTGCAGAGGATGACTATCAAAACGTGAAGATTAAAGCTTTGTTCTTGGTCTAAGTGGCTGCTCACAGCTCTGCAATACCAGAGGCTTTATTTGCCACAACAATGCAGCATCACCACGGAGGACAGAACTGTGAAAGGAAAGCAGGCTCTAATGGAGGACTCGGAAATCAGGAGCCTGGACAGAGTCATTGCTCTCTCAGTCACTGCATTTCAGTAAGTGGGCTACTCTTACTCCTGCCTTACGCATTTCCTAACGTGGACTGACTTTAGAAGCTTGAGTAAACACAAAATCTATTTCATAGCTGTTGTAGTGCACTTCTATACTTTGTAATACTTTGAAGTAGTTTTGTTTTGTATCCCCATATTTTTCCCAAATCGTTTATCCCAAACTGTAACCCCCTCCTTCTCCCTGTGTTATCCCTCTCCCAGGATGAGATCATCCCCAAACCCCCACTCTGGCTCTCTGTCAATCACTCAGCCTCCCATCCCCTCCATGCAGAAGTTTCGGTCCAAGTCGTCCAGTGATCAGCCAGAGGCCAGGGGTCAGCCCCCCGAGCCTTGCCCCATACGCTGTCCTGTATGTCTGTCCCCCAGCATCCATCCCTTAGGGTCACTTAATGGTTGGTAAAATGTTATCTACTTTCAGTTTCCACCTCCCTTTAAACGTGACCTTGGCACATCTCCCTGGGGCTTGGCAGGAGGCCCCTGAGGTGCAGGAGCTCCTTTGGGATCCTAATAAAACCTTGGATTAACCCCTGCTAAGAGTCGGCCCTTTATCATCTACCGATGTCTCTGGTGTCTCTTGTGCTGCACAGGGGCCCAGCCCAGGTGCCCTCAGCACCCTCGGGGCACAGAGAGTGTCTCCCCCCAGGCCAGGTGCCCTCAGCACCCTCGGGGCACAGACAGTGTCTCCCCCCAGCCCAGGTGCCCTCAGCACCCTCGGGGCACACACAGAGAGTGTCTCCCCCCAGCCCAGGTGCCCTCAGCACCCTCGGGGCACAGACAGTGTCTCCCCGCTCTCGGCCGTGTCGGGGCTCCCAACCCCGGTGTCTGCCGACTCGGGACTGGCCCAGGGTCCCTGAGAGGCTCGCGGAGAAACAGAGACAACTTAGGAGCTCCAGACATCTTGTGTCCATCTACAAATCCCATCTAGAGTCCAACTACACCCCACATTACAAACTCCCAGGGACTTCTCCTACTGCACCAGGCTACGCAGGAGGGCAGAGCAGCTCCAGCACAAATGTGTGTGCTGACACCCGTGACACGGGACAGACAGGACACCACAAACAATGGAGACACAACACAGACAGAAATCTCTTGGCAAAAGGGATAACTGCGAGCACCGAGAGCATGCCAAATGAGACGACCGAGGTGAGACTGATGGCAAGCTGACGTGGCTCAGAAAACACTGAAGGAACAAGATGCTAACTGAATGATTTATTCCATAAACTGAAGAGATGGATGCCCGAGAATCCTACAGTCAGAAGCCTCTACCTGTCCTCACATTGTTTCAAGCTCTAATCTGCCATAATGGATCCTGGCAGGGCATAGCTGTCCGTACAGCTCAGAACAAGACCTGAAAAGACATCTGACCGGATGCTTCCAAAGAGAGATGCAATTCTGATACATGTCTGAGCTCCCCAGGCAAAGGTTGTAGGGCATGGATGCCGGGCCAAGAAATGCAGAGATCACAGACGATAAGAACAATGCCAAGGTTTCTGACAGGCCCCTCAAAGGCCTAAGGTAAGAGACATGAGATACCCAAACAACAGATAATGCACAATAGACAAGGGACATGATACACACTGGGACCGCTCTGCCCTGCACACCTCAGCACTGGGATCAAAAGTGAGACTTTGCTTTTATGGGGCCTAAGGGGCCACTTCATGGACACCCCCCACCTCCAAAGTGGACTCAAAAACCCATCCCAGTATTTCCCAAACCAGCACCCTGCTTTCATCCCCTCTGTGGGTCGTAGCCCTCTACTTATCTCTCAGACATCTGGGGATGCCGGTCTGTGTCAGGTGCAAAGGAAGGCTGCCTCGACATCTGGGAAGGTCCTGCTGGCACTCTTGTTAAACAACTTCCTGTTGTTTCTTCGTCTGCTCCAATAAAGAAAACAAAATATCAATGCATAACCTCAGCAGCACATTGGCCAAAACCCAACAATTCTGCCACTCACTCTTTTCCCAAGAATGCCCGGCTCCTGGGGCCGCACGCTTCAGCCGCACTCGGAGGCTGACGCCATCGTCGTGGGGCACGCCTGGGCTAAGAGGAGACGAGGGGATGTGGCGCTGCTGAAACCTGAGCGGAGCCTCGCTCCTCCTCCCTACTTCCCTGACTCACCGCAACTCCTCGGCCATTGCTGAAGGCTACCCTGGTGACACCTTTAAACAGAAAAGGCAGAGGCTTCATCGCCGAGTCCCGGGATTCTTCCCCAGGGCTCGGGAGAGCGGCAAACCCAGCGCGTCGGCCGGTTGGTGACTGGGGCTTGGCCTACTCCGAGTGGATTGCCTGAAGCGCAGAAACAGGAACAGATGCTTAGAGCTGCACCGCAAAGTGAGACTGGAGCAATAACAACTGCTCCTGTACGCTACTCAATGCTCACCTTGCCCATCTCACCTTGCCTGCTGATGTCCAGCTTTACTTCCTAAAAAGAAAAAGAACAGAGCTGTAACAGAGTCACACTTGACACTCTCCCTGCAGAGACAAACGGTGACTGACCTGCTCGGGGGAACCTCCTCACTCGGGATGGGTAGATGGATTTTGCCCTGGATTTTATCCTTCTGCATCTGAAAGAAAGCGAGGACAAACGTCAAAGGGCTGCAGGATATCTTCACAGCTCCAAACATCTTCTGTCTATCTAGGAATATCATCTAGAGTCCGGCCACACCCCACAAACTGCGTGTCCCTGAGCCTTGTCCTGTTGCAGCAGCCTCTGCGGCAGGGCAGAGCAGCTCCGGCACAAACATGTGCAGACACCCGTGACACAGAACGTGACCAACGGGGGGACGTTAAACACAACACATTATGCTTGTGGTGAGGGCCTCGAGGGGAAAAGGCAAAAGGGACCCCAAAGACACAGTAGGTAACACGGTACACCCGACAACACGACGTGGACCGGAACTGCTCTGCCCTGCCCGCCTGCACGCTGCCATCAAATGTGGAGTCTCTCCCCTTAGCTGTCCTAAGAGGCCCCTTGGAGAAGATTGCTTTTCCCTCTGCTAATTTTTCAATCTGTCCCAGGAACTCCCAACCCGCTGCTCTCCCTTCTCCAGGCCGTGACCCAGACTTATCTTTTGGATGATCAGTGATGTGAATCCACGTTGCACCTGAAATGAGTCTGCCTCGGAGGGCCCCGTGATCGCCTGTTAGCCTCTCGGTCAGCTACAATAAAGAAAACCAAAACCAAAGTATGAGTTCAGAGTTATGTGGGCCAAATCCCAGCAAGTCAGCTACTGGCCCTCTCCTGAGTGTGCCTGGCTCCTTCAGGCTCCACCTTCATCCTGATTCCAAGGCTGTGGGCATTATTATGAGTGACACCTGGGTTAGAGAAAAGCAAAGTTCAATGGCATTCCTGTGAGTGCAGTGGACCTTGTGTGAGGAAGACATGGGAATGCCTCTGCTGTGCTTCTGAAAAGCCCTGTGTGGGGGGGCCCTCAAATAAACACCCTTTCTCACCCTGCTGCCTGCAAGGAAATGGACGTACATACACACTCTTACAAATGTACCTACGGTTTTGGGGTTTTTTTCTTCTGAAGCTCCAAGAATGATTTCCCATCTTGAGTCATTCAGAAGAAACGGCCCCTGTGACTCAGGTCAGAAGGGTGGCCTGCGTTTTTGATCACGACAGCTTTTGGGTTTACCCTGTGAGCAGGAGCAGCCAGAGCTGAGGCTCAGCAGAGGCTGACCCCGGCCAGCCCCTTCCTCCCTTCCCCGTGTCACAAGGACTTCCAGGCAGAAGGATGCAAAGCAGGTTTGTGTCTTTTCTCTTCAGTGCCAATAGGTAAAAGATGTAGGCTTTGAAATAACTAATGACCCTCTCTTGGAACTCTCCCAAGGACAGTTTGAAAGAAAAGACAGAAGATTGCTGCTAAATCCATATGGGATAAGGATGAGAGCAGCAAGGAGGGCAGGTGAGTCCCCCCCCCAAGGGCGCACCCAGAGCCCCAGGCAGGGACGCAGTCACTGGCTGCTCTCTGGGGACGAGACCCTCCCTGCAGGTGACACCGGCTTGTCCTCTCCCTGTGGCACAGGGACCTCCAGGCTCTATGACCAGCCTCATTTTGTCAGCATCCAGGTGCTGTGCTAGAGCCAGAGGGGTCAAGGCTTTCCAGAAGCATAGGATCCTTGCGGTTGGAAAAGCCTTCTAAGGACATCCAGCCCAGCTGCTGCCCCCCAAATCAGGTCTCTAAACACCACATCTTGACATCCTTGACATGTCTCCAGGCATGGGGACTTCCCTGGGCAGCCTGCTCCTATGCCTGACCACCCTTTCAGTGAAGAAATTTTCCCTCCAATCCAATCTAAGCCCTCCCTGCTGCAAGTTGAGGCCATTTCCTCTTGCCGTGTCACTTCTTACCTGGGAGATCTCAGTGCTTCAACCTTACCTGCTCCTTCCCTAGGCGGTCTCTGGCTTGGCTGGAGGAGAGGAGAAACACTCCCACCACAGGAATGGCAGCTCAGGAGGTCCCACACCAAGGCCAGGGGGAGCAGCCGTCCTCGCCAGAGCTCGCACGTCCCTTCTCAGAGATTGGCTCTGCTTTTCCTCCTTCAAGTTGTTCCCAAAGCTGCTGGAAGAACTGAAGGCTCCTTTGGCCTTCCATTGCTCTGCTTGTCCCGAGAAAGAGCTTTGAGTGTTGTTACCCCTCCAGAAAGGAAGGGCCTTTCTGTCTCACACGCTCGGTGACACAAGGCTACGCAGCCTCTGCTCCAGGTGGGAAGGGCTTCCTTCCTCCTCTGGCACCTGGCTGGCACAGGGCACAGGTTGCTCAGAGGTCCTGGGGCTGCCCCATCGCTGCAAGTGCTCAAGGCCCCTCGGTGCTCTGCGATGAGGCTCTGAGCAAGCTGCTCGATGGAAGCACGTCCCTGCCCACGGCGGCAGCAGCCTTGGAATGAGGTGATCTTTAGAGCCCCTTGCAACCTGAATTCTTCCGTGATTCTGGGAACTGAAAAAAGCGGGGAAAGAAATCTGTAAAGGTCACTAAATGCATCCAAGCACATCCCCATGGATCCAATCCTCAGCAGCCCATCCAAGGCAAGGTCAGAGCTCTCTGCCCACCGAGGACACGGCAAGCAGCAGGGACCTTTCTCCCACTCTCCAGCACGGACCTGCGAAGCCAGAGAGAAGTTTACAGACACCGGAGGGCGGCGGGACGGGACGGGGCGGGACGGGGCGGGCGGTCTTACCTTGCAAAGATGGCGGCAGAAAGGGCGGGCAGCGCCGCCGCCCCGCCGGGATTTTCCGGCCCGCCGTCGCTTCCGCCGCCTGGAGAGGCGCGTGCGCGGGCTCGGGGGGGGGTGCAGCCCCGTTCCGACGGCGTTCGCCCGCCCCCGCTCGCTGCCCCCGGCCCGCGGAGCGCTGCGACCGCGCCTCCGCCGCCCGCCGAAAGCGGCCCCGCCGGGCCGCCCCCCCCCCCCGGCCATTCTTCTCAGCCATCGTGTCCCTTTTGCACTCCTGAACGTCTTTCACCCCTCCCGGCCATTTACCGAGCCCGCCCCGCCCGCCCCTCGCTCCCGCCCGCCCCTCGCTCCCGCCCGCCCCTCGCTCCCGCCCCTCGCCCCCGCCCCTCGCCCTTGCCTCGCTCGGCAGCCGCGTCCTTGCCCCGCCCCCGGCAGCCAGCGGCGAGGGGCAGGGCGCTGGCTCGGGGGGCTGCAGTACCGCGCTCTGGCCACAGGGCGGCAGACTCCCGGGTCCGCGATTTTCCCGCGCTTTTGGCCGCCATTTTGAGAAGGTCAAACAAACTCCTCGACATTGGCGACGCGCCGCTCCCATGATGGCGGCCGAGAAAGGTCTCCCCCCCTTCCCCCCCCAGCCGAGAGAGGCGGTTACTCAGATGCCGGTCAGAAACCCGCCAAAATACGCCCGCCCGCAGCGCCGCTGACCCTACAGCCCGTGCCGAGTACACCTGAAACGCAAGAGAATATCCCGCCGGGACCGCGCCGGCGTTCCGTGCAGGCAGTCCTGATACACACACCGCGGGCCTCCGGTTGCCCGCCCTTTTGGCCGCCATTTTGAGACGGTCAAACAAACTCCGCCACGCGCCACGCCCAAGAGGGCTGCCTGGCGGCGGCGGGCTGCAGTACCGCGCTCTGCCCACAAGGCGGCAGCACTGCCACCCACCCCAGCCGGGGGCGCCGCGCGCCGCGGGGCTGCGGGCGGCCAAGGCGGCAAAAAAGAACAGGGGCCATCCCCCCCAAAAACTCCTCTAAAAATAAATGCCAAAAACCTGCCTCTTACCCAACAAGAACCAAATAAGCCCCCTTTCTTTCAAACCTTCTTTAAATAAATTTTATAGTTCTAGTTTTCCTAGTTCTATTCACACACATATTTATACCGGACAGTGATGTGTTACGTCATTTATACAATCTATTATGTCTATTCCTATTATCTGTATTTATTCATATTTTGTGGTTTTATCCATATCAGTATATATTGATTGTAAATTTCTATACTTCGATTTACATTTCCATCATACTTTTATTATTCCAAAAATAATCCCATCTCTAACCAAACAAATACCAAAAAACCCTTCTTTTAAACTATATTGAAATAGTGTTATAGTTAGAGCTTGCATAATTATATTCACTTTTATAGTCACCGTTTATACTGATGCATTCTATTCATAATTACATATCACATATATATCATTCACATCATATAGATAAATTATTATTTTTATTATGTACCATATCTACTGCTACAACTTCTTTTTTCTAATATTTTCAATTTTTATATCCATCTTGATGTATTCATGAGATATTTTTACAATTAGATTTCTACCTTTCTATTATTTGTATTTGTAGTTTTTATAATAAAACCCCTGCTTTTGCCAAACAAAAAACAAAACCATCCTTTCTTTTAAACTACTTTTAATAATATTGTTGTATTTATATTTACCATACCTATAATGTTTTAGATATTATATCATAGTGATGGACTATATTTAGAGCTATTTTATAGCTACTTGCTATAATATATCATCATAAGATACATACAGTATCACTTGTATTACGCGTTGTATGGATTTATGTCACTTTATATTTACAATCCTTTAATAATTTTATATATATATCTGCAAAGATTCGAAACACATTTCTACATTTAAAATTTCGTTTGAGTTGTGTTTATATTTATCATCTCTATTGATATATCTATCAACATACACAATACTCTATTAAAAACTACAATATCTTCTTGGAATACACCATGACTTATGTTAACTGTTAAATTTTAAATAGAGATCGAATAGATCAAAATAAAAGTTTATTCCCATTTCTACACACCGTCTTGTTTAAAGATAGCTATCCTTAGAATTTTACATTTAAAATCCAATTCCTAAATGCAATGACAAAACAAACAGCATCGAATTCCCACCAATGTCTTCCAAAACCATCAAGATACCTCCACCAG